AATTAGCTCCTTGTCATCGATCTTTACCAGGCTTCCCAAGCTGACATAGAATACTGAATTAGGAGCCTGTCTGTCGAGCCACTCAATGCAGCTATCGTCTTCTTCTAGTAAGCTAGTCGATGAGGTTGAAGGTGCCATTTTGTGAAGAGGACCTATGGGGAAAAATGGCACCTTGTAATGTTCCTGAACGCGTAACAACAATGAATTCTCCAGGTCTTCCATCGTGTTCCAAATAGTCGCGACAGAAGATCCTATATCACTCATTGCTCGACAGAATTCTAGTATCGGTTCTGGAACTGTATTATCGATGACAGGAAATGGTATATCCTTAAACCTCAGGGGATGAAGCTCCGGCAATGGATCCAGCAGCTGAGAATCTGGAATTGCAGTGAGTAATCAATCTCTTGGAATCAACGAAGATGTAGCGAAAGATAGGGCACCGAAGAAGAAAAAGATTTATATAGACAATACCAATTAGCTTAGAATATATTTAGTCAGGTTGATACGTTCACTTTAGCTCCTATGCTTTTTAGAAGTCTTTTAGCTCTATTAGAGATTCTTATTACAACAACAACAAATCCAATAAAATCCCACAAGTGGGGTCTGAGGAGGGTAGTGTGTACGCATACCATATCTCTACCTTAAGAAGGTAAATAAGCTATATCCGATTAGAAATTCTTACGCCAATAGGAAATATACATAAGTTCTACTAATACTTTTCATGTTGTGTAATGTTTGCCGGAAATAAATATAAATGGGGAACATGATCAGTGAAGATTCATATAGCTGATCCCAACTTATTTTTGGGACTGAGACGTACTTGTTGTACTGAATTCAAAATAATTTGTTATTTAAACATTGAAGCAGAGGTTGTGTCTGGTTTCATACCTTCAAAAGGAAGATATTTGTCTGGTTTCTGAAGAATGGTGAGCATAGAGTGCAAATATGTAGCGCTGAAAGCGCGCAGGACAATACTCGGAATCCTTAGTTGAGTAACCACATCATCAACAAAGAACATACCGTTATCATAAACAATACAAGCAAGTTCATCACCATCGTCTTCCATCATCCTAACGAGGTAATTTTTAAGGGGCGCCTTACAGTTCTCGTTCAGATCATGCATATTTTCTATACTCGGCATTGACATGTCACGTCCCTGTAATCCGTCGTTCATAGAATGGAAGACGAATTCAGGGTGGTTGGAATAATCAGGAGCATTGAATTCAGTATGCGCGACTACAACAGAAAAGCCTTGAGAATGAAGAATACTACCAAGTTGCAGCATTGGTGTTAAATGCCCCTGGAATGGATATGGCACTAATACAACACTCTGTCTTTTTTGTACTTTCATCTTTCTTTCTTGAATTTCCATTTAATGTTCTTCCCCGAAACAACCTCTCTACCCTCGAACGAGGTCTACGTACACACTATTTTCCGCAGACCTGACCTCACTTGTGAGATTATACTGGTTCGTCGTTGTTGTTATTGTTGTTCTTGAAGTAAAATTTACACATAATATATATATATAGCTCTCAAGTTTAGGAAATCTGAGGAGTTTCCAAAGAAGCTGGCTTTTTGGAATATTTTGCTGCTACTTAATACTGGATGAATGGTGATGGAAAATAGGGACAACTCACCATAGTTAATCACAAAAAGGGAGAGGAAAACTAGAAATAAGATTCTTTTGGAGAATTATATATATTAATAAGAGATGCAAATTGGAAGATGTTTCAAAATTGATCTTATATTAGTATTGTTTGTGTTTAGCTATTCGTCTTTTAATCCAATGGTTCAGATTTCAGTACATTTGTTCGGCTATTTTTTGCCATATGGAAAGGATAAGAGAATCTGTGGTATTACAGCCACCTCAATAGACAAAAGTAACCAGCTAGCATATTTGGCTTCATGAAATAGTTTTGATCTGATATTTAAATATTTTAAAATATCCCTTTTAATCTTTAAATTCAAATAGATTAGATTTCAAAGTTTTAACCCATATTCTGTTAGGCGTGTGTGAACAAAGTATCACATGAAAAGTAGAAAAGAAAACTAAGTTACTTATAAGGAGTTAGATACTCTTAATGGTGTGAGGCATTTCGGGAAAAACAATGCGAGCTTGGCCTAAAACGAAAAATATTGTACCATGTAAAAAGTATCTTTGGGTTTTAGTCCAACAACTTGTATCAGAGTCGGATATTGTTGTGTGCGAATAAAGTCCCACATAAAAAGTAGGAAAAAAAATAAGCTTCTTGATCGTATGAGGCCTTTTGGAAAAACCATGACGTGACCCAAAGAGGACAATATATATCATGTAAGAGTATCTTTGTGCCGTTTCAGCCCAACATACTCATTATTAGATTTATGTACATATAACTTTCTAGGATTTTTTTCCTTCCTATATAATATTTGAAACTTATTTACTAAAATTGATCCAAAATATTTTATATTACCCACCCTAAACAAGTTTTTCTTACAAATTATATACAATCTATTATTAGTACCTTAACTTAAGGGATTCTTTGCTTGGAAAAGGGCGTAACCGAAGGGAACTAAGTCCAAATTGTCCTTCCATCTAAATAAGACTCATTCCAATTGTGTGTTACCTATTTTAAGCCATATATAGTGCAAATCTTCTCTCTCTTTGCCATAATCACCCATTTAAAAATAAGAATAACGTATGGTACAACAAGATACAAAGTAAAAACAAATATCATTCAAATTTAATACATAATTTGATATATTTAAAATAACATACATACTAAAAATAAATTTCAAATAACTAATTATACAGTATACAACTTATCTACAACTTTCATACATTATTTTTACCCAGTTAAATACAACTACAACATCATACAACTTAAATACAATTTTTATACAATATGTCTTTTGTATATGATTTACATATATTTCGTATGTGGTGTCCTTCTACTTCTTCTTCGAATTTCAATCCGAAAATCCAGCCAAATTAAATCTAATCTTCACCAAATACCCTCAAAATCGAGATATAAACTCCATAGAATATTTCCAATCATTTGCTATAACATCCGGTCCAAAAAAAATATTATTTGAAAATCCGAATCCGAATTCAAATTCAAAACTTCGCAACTTTTTAATGGCTGTCAATGGTGAAGAGTCAAACACTTTCAAAATTTATTAATTGACAATTTCAATTCAAACAATCCAACCAAATAATTAATATGCATTTGCTGCTAGCCCTCCATCGGAATACCAACAAGAAAAGGGGAAGCCCAGAAAAGCTTCAAACTCTAGCCATGGAAAAATTCAAATTGATAAAAAATTAATCCCTTTCATCACCATTGTTAGAGAAAATTATGAGCTTTAGAAGAAAAAACCTTATAGAATCGGTATAGAAAGAGAGTTAATTTCAAAGAGAAAAAAAGAAAAATCCTTGAGAAAGATTGGGGTTTGTCTGGGTAAGTAAGGAATTGTGAGGATTTTTTAGGATTTAATAAATTAAAAGGCTACAATCAAGGGATACTCATTTAAGACTAATTTGTATATAATTGGTAAATTGTATATGACTATATAATTAAGTTAAAACTTGATTAGGGGTAAATAAGTTTCATATATAGTTTAGGTAAGTAAAAATGTCAACGTTTCTAGCACTTAAGGGTTCTTTAATCTTCTAGAGGAACTTGTTTTGTAATCTAAATAAAGGTGAAACTATATTATTTATTTATTGTTAAAAGTATGTGTAAAGAAAGAAATAGAGAGAGAGGGGGAGAGAGATTCTAATTGTATGAATCGCTCCCGTAATTCTCCTTCTCTAATGATTTAACAAAACACAAATTGCTACTATCACAAAGTATTTTTCTAAAAATCTATTGGCGAAAGTACTTTTGGAAGTTTCGTCAAACTTGAAACATGCTGTTAGTTGTAATTCTTTGTTTTAAAAGGCAGAATTGGAACTTGCTCGGGGCTCGTCCTGGGGCGGAGCACTCGTAAAACGCTCCTGGGATTATGTGTAGGGCTTAGTTCCGTGAGACTTACGCTTCAGCCGCCGAGACTTATGCTCCAGACACGCCCAACGCCCGACATACTGGGCTCGCCTAATAGAACTTTATGCAATTATGTGTAACTAACCTTGTTAATCCTCAAATTTTCTTAATAAATCGTCGACTATTCAAAATTATTTTTTTCTTAATCATAAATCATTAAGTTGAAAGTATGTTATGTCATAATTAAGATAAAAATTATTGCACGTTATCCACTAAGACTTCTATGATAGTAAATTTTAAATAACTCTTTCATTTAAAAGTATTTATTAATTAACTTTTATTATGTCTTTATTATATAATAGTCTATAATTTTTTGTATAATTGTTTTCCTAAATATTATTTTTTCACGTTTACGAGATACAATACTTATTAATTTAATAACTCAGTATTAGCTAGTAACTATTTACAAATAATTAGTTATCATGATATAGTATGGTGAATTATGTGTCACTTTATTAACTTATTGAAACCTAAAATTAAAGGATGTTAGAGAATCACATTTAAATTGTAAATTATGTTTTTATATAAATTCTCTTTCAAATAGAAACCATATTAAATAAAAGAAATATTTTTAAAAAATATCAAATTGTAATATCGAAACTCTTTCAAGATTCATTACTCCTTAAGATATATATATTATAAAATTTCACATCGAATACATTACTTTTGATGTTTGAGTTGTAACGACATTACAGCTAATTTGCATATTATGATATATGTCATACTTTTTGTATTATTTATAGTTGAATTATAATTTTATAAATATTTTAAATAGATTATTTGTTATAATTTTGTAATTTTAATGTAATTTTTATAATTATTTTTTATTTTATACTATCTTAAAATTCTTGAAATTAGTAAAATTTAAAAATCCGTGGGACTTACGCCCCATGTCTCAGGGCTTACGCCTCACCTCATCAGAGGTAAAACGCCTCGCCTCACGCCCCCGCCTTTTAAAACATAGGTTGTAAGCATGTATTTATTACCGAAATCAAATCTTTTATTTTTATTTTATTACTCCAAATCAATTCATGATCAAGGAAAGGAAGCAACCCTTACATGTACTCTCTGGTAAACATACTGCAAGCAGGAACTTGAACAATGGGGATGTCAACAAATACAATTGAGAAAGGAGCAATAGCTAATGGTTCGGACGATTTCACTCGTAGAGGTTCCAAGTGAGGGATTCTTCCAAAATGATCTACACTAAGTTCCTTTTCATTCAAAAGCACTGTTTGGCTATGTAATTCACCATCTTTGGCTGTAAGGTGATATTCTTCCCTCCAGATTTCGTGTCTCGGATTCTGATCATTTATGTCTCGCAGCAGCAGTGACACCTTGTTTGCGTTAGCAAGTGTGACCGAAACACTTACATTAACCGTTGCACCACCATCCATGTTGATCAACAACAGTGTGATTCCGTCCTGCAACATAATTACATAACCATATTTATTTAGAAACATTTGGCTGAACGCAATAGCTTTGGTCTAAACTCTTTATTTATCTTAAGAAATCTATTCAATATGTACAAATTATTAATTTAGAACCTAATAGCTTAAAAGAACTAGAATCCCGAACCTATAAGCTCCAAATTCTGGATCTGCCTTGTCTCTAGTGTAGATCATAGAGATATTTTCAAGTCTCTCATGTTTAAATATGCATTATTATACTTACAGAAGATTTTGAACAGTGGGTATAAGCTCGTAGCTTTTTCGTTCCTTTGAATTGTGTTGACAGAACAGACCTTCCCATCAAACGGTGCCAAAGAAGAGCGCTGTGTGCATGAAAGAGAATGCAAGTAACAATAAGAAAAATGCAAAATGAATGCTACATTACCAAGTAAAGCGTTTTCTACATTATTTTAACAGTGGATGCAGTTGATTTTGAATCTCATGTTTTTTTCAACCAAAGAACTAAGGCGTACCCATAATAATCAGGATTTGGATGAAAAGTTATGGTATTGAGGAGACCATAGTTTCCACCAACCAATGTTTGTCGACAATATGTCTTAGTGTCGAACGTGGCTGACATCCCAAGCTGATCCAAATACCTACATGTTTGCAAGAGGCAAAAATCGCTTCTAATGAAACCTTGACAAGAAGGTTATCACAGGTATAGACCATTTAGGTTGAGTTTTTACCAAAAGCTGGACACAAAGCTATTGGAAACAAGATCGCGACCACTGTTATAAACCCCTCCACTTTCACCAACCCATGCTACTGATGAAGTTCCAAACTTTTGGAGAACACCTTGAACATGTCTGAATATTTCGGAGTCTTCATCCAGATGAGAAGGATCAAGTATTTTCTGAACTAGGTCGCTGTCATTGCCTAAATACAAAATAACTTATTATTCCAACAACAATGCTAAGAAGAGGGAAAAATGGATCTAATAGCTTCATGTACCTCCGCCAACATTGTAAATGTGATGTGTAACCACTTGAAGATAATTGGATGCTTTATCTATAAGCTTTGAGAACCAAACAACGTCAAATATTCCTCCTGGTGCAAGGACTAATGGCATAACGTCCTTCCCTTTGTATATTTCTTGCAGTAATTTGTGAAGTGCGATGACATCACGGCTGTACTGATTGGCTGTGATATTTGCACCAATTCCATTTCCATTCAATTCATTTCCTGGCAAGAAACTAGATATTTGCATCAAATCTATTAGAGAGAAGCCAGATGAAAGAGCATTCAACAATCTCATAGTTGGCTCTTAATACTACATTGTTCCTATGGAAGAAAGTGATCTGTTGGAACTTGTCTTACCCCGAGGCGGAGCTAGAATTTGAAGTTTATGGGTTCGGGATTCTAGTTTTTTTAACTTACTGGTTTCTAAATTAATTATTGTACATATTTAATGAATTTAATAAGACAAATACAGAGTTCGGACAAAAGCTACTGGGTTCGGCTGAACAAGTAAGTGAAGACCTAGCTCCGCCCTGGTCTTACCGGAGTCTTTAGACATATATATATTCTTTTATTTAAGAGAAGGAAATGAATATAATGTCAACTAGATCCATCATACATGAACTGTAAAATGGTAAAGTTCCCTTATCGCGCTGTATGAAGATGTAATTACTTGCAAATGATGCTTCTGCTCTTTCAAATCAAAACAAAGAAGAACTCGACCTCACTAGAAAGACAATTCTCATACTACTTGCTCCTTTACCCCACTGTTAAATCTCTTAGGCTTAGAACTATCCTTATGCTAAATTTGCACATCAGCATACCCCTAAAATATCTAGTTAAAGACAGGAAAGAATTTCATACCAAGTTCCCAGCCGAGGATAGTATAACCTCTGCTAACCGTATATCTGATGAAAGACTCTGCATTGCTGGAATCCCAATCTCCCAAAGCAGAGCCATTAGGAGCTATCGTCTTTCCATTTAAAGCATTCAACCCAAAAGTTACTTTTGCCCTGCAATAATATACTGCATGTATTCAGGTAGCTTTGGCTAACAAGAAACTCAATTTATCACTATCATGTCCCTTAACGATTTTCCTCACTAATGTTTGAAATACACACAATTGCATGAAGTAAAGTTACCCCGTTTTCTTGAAGAATTGGTTGAGTTCATCCCAACGAGACAAAGGTAAGCAACCTTGGGTGAAGCCAAACAACTCTTTATTATTAAGGAGAAAAGGAGAACATGGTTGCTCATAATGCGCCGTTTGGTATACTATTTTGTCTTGCAATGTGCCTCCGAGTCTAATTTTTAACGGCGAAAACGCTGCAATATTCAAGAGGAAACTTCAATAGTTACTCATTAATCAGAAAACTGCTTAATAAACTTTTGAATGCATAGTGAATGGGTGTTTCTCCAATAATTTATACCTCTAATTGCATTCAACAAAACCTTGTTGCTTAGATCCTGCAATAACGACTGCCCCCAATTAGTGCAATGGGATGTAAAGTTGAACATAACATAAAAATGCCAAGGGTAAAGCTAGGGGATAATTTAGTAGTCAACTTTCTAAAACGAATAGAGACAAAAACATCACAGAAAATGGAGAAGGCTTAGAAAGGAAATGACACCATTTTCGGGAAAACCAGAAGAATCTTTGTCTCACTGTTCAACACTAGTAAAATGTAGAAACTATTACTAAAGGGGCAACCCGGTGAACAAAGCATCCCGTGTTCATGCAGGTATAGAGAAGGGCCGCACCCCTAAGGGTGTAATGTCGGCAGCCTATCACTTTCAAACAAACTATTGGAGAAAAAACATAATCAAAGAAAGTGGTTTTTCCCTCTTTTAATGGAAAATATTTTTCAAGGAAAATGCAAAATTATTGCCTAAAAAGATCAAAATATGCAAAAATTTCCAAGTACATTAGTGGTTTTACCGAGTTCTGAACTCTCTTACATATATCAGTACTATAGGGGAATGTAGCTACACCACAAACTTATATGAAACTAAGTCATTAATTAGAGCAATGACTCGCCAAATAGATTAAACCATAAGTAAGCTACCATCAGTAGAGCATTCTAAAAAAAGGGGCCGCCAGTGCACAAGGTATCATGCGCTCATGCAGGATCCAGGAAAGTACCGCACCTCAAAGAGTGTGATGTAGCCAACCTCCCGACTGCTTCCACGGTTCGAACCCATGACCTATAGATCACACGGAAATAACATCCTGCATTCATGTAGGATCCAGGAAAGGGCCGCACTCCAAGGAGTGTAATGTAGCCCGCCAGGAGGCTACTTCCACGGTTCGAACACGTGACCTATCGATCACATGGAGACAGCATACCGCATTCACGCATGGTCCAGGAAAGAGCCGCCCCCAAGGAGTGATGTAGCAAGCCTTTTGGCTGCTTCCATGGCTCGAACCCGTGACTATAGATCACACGGAGACAACTTTACAGTTGCTCCAAGCTCCGTTCCATCAGTAGAGCATTCTATGTTAACTATTGGTCATGAATGTGCAAATTAATTAAAAGGCTATATAACAGAAACTTTAAAGTACAGAGAACTAAAAAGAAAAAGTGAAAGAGGGGTTACAAGATTAAGGAGAGAAGAATTTCCCCAGCTACAAGTTCCATAATCACATTTATTAGAAGGCCACCAATCTAAGGTTGCACAAATGAAATCCTCATCTATCTTTGCAATGGCTGCTGACCCATCAATGTAAATACTCCCCTTTTCAAAACTAGCACTACTTTTTGACGAAGACTCTTCTGCTCTTGAACATTGGCTATTGTACAACAACAATAGCAAGAAATACAACTCCAAGAAGCAGCTGAACAAAGAAGCCATTGCAAATTGACAGTGCCAGTTGAGTCCCTAAATTGATATTTGATAGTACTGCCTTAAATGTGTTCTACCAACTCTGACACGTGGATATTAGTGTTTTAATTCATAAGATAAAAGATTGGGACCTGTGGATAGTTAATAATAAGAAAAATTACGCGACACATAACATATTTACACTGTATTTATTATTTGTAGTTATACTTTCAGCAAATTTATAATTCGTAACTATATTGAATTTCATAGCAAATCCATAAAATAAGAGATTAATTATTTTGAACTCAAACAAAAAAGTAACAAACTCTCATAGCTTAGTTGGTTAGAGTGCATGCTTAGCTAGCAAAGGTCTGGAGTTTGAATCTCAACAAGAACATTTAATTTTCCTGTAATTCTGTACTTTACCTTAGTTGTATTCGTTGCATGAACAAATACAATCGTTACATGTTTTATCCTTTGTATATACCCTCATATAAAGTTGATACAAGTTGTGTTATTTGTATCATATAAAGTTGATACAAGTTGTGTTATTTGTATACGGCCTTGTATTTCGCATTGGTTACAGTTGATACATATTGTATTCGTTGTAGCGCGAATGAATATAGCTGACACATGTTTTATTTGTTGCGCGTTTGAGTACAAGTGATACAAGTTAGTAACAAATGAACAATACCTATGAATGACAATTAGACAAATTATAATTATTAGGCTCTAAATTGTAGTGATTTATAAAAATTCCTCTTAAAAATATGCATATGAAAAGCATGTGTTTTAAATTGTTCGATTTAATATAAATATCGAATACGAATAAAATTTTATCAATTAAGCTCGCGCTGAGTTTGTCTAAGATAACATATGAAAAGTAGAATTTTTACCTTATATGCATATGTTGCTTGATTTTCCAACCCCCCCGGAAACAAAACTTCTGTTAGTTCATTAAGGATATAATATGCCTAAAGGAACGTATAATTGCGGACGCTTCAACAATATTTTTTGCTTGATGTTCATAGTGTATGCAAAAAAACATTCCCTTTTGAATAGCATTGACTATGTATTATATAACATGTTATAGTTCTATAATTAAAATTTATTGTGTAAATATAGTAAAACCAATTTTCTACATGCTAACAGATTTCATTTAATTTTATAGTTTTGATATTTTTCATTTCTAATTTTTTTTTTAAATGTGGGCCCACACGAATGCATTAATCATGATAGATAAAATCTCGTTTTGCATTGGGGAGGAAATTAACTTATTATCTCACAATATTGTACTATAAAACATGTCAATTTGAATAGTTGATTTAACAAAAGAGGAATAAATAAAATTATACTAAAAGAGGAATTGGTAAGTGTTGGACTTTAAGCCATTGGGTTTTAAAGTAGAAGAAGTGTGAATTGGAAATGGAGGGAATAAAATGGAGGGAAAATGAAAATTTGAAGAAGTGAACTTTTGTCTTGCACTTTGTCCCTCATTGGTGAGGGACAATCACATTTGTGTGCTTATATATATATTCACTTCTTAAAGCTCTTAAAAGGAGTTGAAGAGAATGAACCCTTGCGCCATCGTCATCGCTCGCTCGGCTCGGCTTCGGCTTCGGCTTCGACTTTGGAGCCAGAATCGCGGTCGGCGGCAGCGTATTTTCTGAAAAGGCACCTTTCCAGACACCTCTTCTACAAGTGAATTTCTCATGTCCCCATAACTATGACTTTTTCTATTTATAAGGAAACATAAATCTAAAAACCCTAATAATACAAATCCAGAGAATATTCTCTCTGAAGTCTCATCTAAAACTAGCCGTTATTATTCCTTTTTAAGAGGAATACTCGTCCTCGGCATCGGCCTCGACCTGTGATGACTCTTCGACCAAATCCTCCATCTCTCGCTAGATCACGCCGACCTTGAATTCGCCTCTTTGCTGAAGCCATACTGAGGACACGTGGAAGCAGGGGCATACGTAGTAATTTTTGTAAGCGGTGTCAAAAGTTATAGAAAAACGACAATAATAGCTTTAATTATCATACTTCTAGACAAGAACCAGTCTTAGCCTATTGATTTTGTACGTTGAGTCTTACGTTAGAAAAGGTCTTGACTTCAGTTCTACTTCATCGCAGTTTTTAACTATAGAGGCTCACTCAAATAGTTGCAAAAAAAGATGTGCTAGTAGAGGTTCAAACCTCAAACCTTTTAGAGCAAAATCAAACACATAACCAATACACCAAAAGACAAATTATGTTAAGTGGTGTCATTTTTCTTGCTTATCCATTTTCTTACAGTATTAATACATATATTTAATATAAAAAATTGATAAAGACGTGTCGCATGACACCGCTTTGTTAAGCATCCATCCGTCCCTGCGTGGAAGCTCTCGAAGGTCCTCTTAATGCTAATATGGTCTAAACATAACTAAGTTAATTTTTGGTATTTGTTTTACGTCATTTTAGAAACACGCTAAAACTTCATAACTTATTATTTAAATAAGCTCTTAAATAAATAACAACAAGAAACAGTACGGTCCCAAGAAACTGCTGAACAATTAAAAAAATCATGTATATTTATTAATAAAGTGCCAGATGAGTCCCTTTAAATAATAGCTCACCAAACTCGTTTGGAAGTTTTCTCCTTTTTCATATCGCGAAAGCCCCTTCAAGTTGTCCTCAACGATCAGCCAGACACCTTAACTGACCCGTTTATCATTTTAACACTTCTTCTCCACTAAAGTACGATCTCGTGAACCCTTCACGCTGACATGACAGAGTGTGTGCTTTATACTTAACTAGTATTAGTACCTGCACGATGTGCGGATAATATTATGATTCTGCTAAATTCTATAAATTAAAAAGAATAAATTATATAAATAACTATTGACATAAACTTAAATATTATAACCTCATATATAGCCGGTGATACAAACAAATAAAAATACAATATGATTCAAAAATAAATACTCATTCCCTTTCAATTTACATAAAATATTTTTCTTATTAGTCTATTCCAAAAGAATGACACATTTCTGTATTTAAATATAATTTGACTTTAAATTTTTTATTTTACCCATTTTACATATAATGAGAAGTTCTTACACCCATGCAAATATCATGGCCCCACAAAACTATTAGGATCATAAGTTTCAAAAGTTTTCTTTTTCGTTCATAAATTTTGTGTCAAGTCAAACTATCTCATCTATATTGAAACTGAGTGAAGTCATACTATATAGAGTAATAACAAATAAAAATACATTTAGTAATATCTTATTTAAATTATAAAAATATATTATATTATTATCTCAACATAATAAATTCTCACATCAACATCAACTTCTACCAACCTAAAATTACACGGTGACAAATTAATATATATATACATGATAATTTATTAACAACCAATATATTCTAACTTTTGGGAGTTACTAACTTATAAAATAGTTGGATCGTAATTTGCTAATTTTGCTAGTTACCTTAATTTTAAACACACAATTAAAGTCACATTGTTTTTAACAATTTAAATGATACCTTTGGGATAGTTAAGATTAATATATTATAATTAAATAAATGTTAACCTACTTTAAATATTTTTCTTCCATGATGCACATGTACTAAAAGAAGATGAGTTCTTACATGTAATTCTTCATTAAATGAATCTTACCTTATGATTTTACGATCCACTTTATTTTGTGCAAATAGCAATCCCAAATAGTGCAATTATGTTCATCTATGTGTTTACCCTATCCAAATCTATTTCATTCTAATTGACACACACACACACACACACACACATAATATATATATATATATATATATATTCGACCACATCGGTTGCTCGATCTATTGGCTTATACAATTTGAGAGAACATAAATATCAACAACGCGCTAAAAAATCATTGTCCATACCTGAGCCATTAGAGAAAAATCTATCCTCCCTTATTATATATTTTAGCATAGCAATTGCTAGCACTAATAGAAAGAAAAAAAAAAAGATGTATGTATTGCTTCCAAACAATTGAGATATAAAATAAATTATAAAATATTGGACAATTAATTTTATCGAAAGGCAACACAATTGATATTTGTTTAGCCAATGTTTGAGTCGATTCATAGTTAAACATTATCCCTAAGGTAGTTACGAAAGTTAAGTTTTAATCCAACAACTCGGTAATTATGATTATGGGTTCGAGCCTAGATTTTTTAGTCTTATTTCTAGTAACAAACATGTTTTTATTTTTTTTGTTATTTTTGTTGTGAACTCAAATTTCAAAAAACTCTTTCTCATTATTTAGAACAATTCGCCTCACTCGTTGAGCCTCCCGTTTGAATTGAAACATTTATGTGTTGATTAGCTTTCCTAATTAATTAATTAATCAATCAATTCAAATTTAACTTTCTTTCCATTCAGATTCAGAAGAATCTTATTTACTATCTTTCTATTTAAATTTAAATAAATATCATGTCTTTCAATTTAAATTAAATACTATAACAAATATTGTCATAATTTGCCAAGTGACTTCGTATTAGTTTGTCACTTGGCTTAACCATAATGCACACTTGCTATATTGCCATGTGACTTTTTAGTTTTTATTAGCTTATCGCGTTACTTAATGTCCTTACTCATTGCTCTACTTTTAGTATAATATAATGAATATAGTTTTGTATTACCCTAAAATTTAATTTAACATTTTTCTTTTGTTCCGTAGCTCCAATTATTTTGTTTAAATTTGTCAATAATATTATTTTTCCTATTTAATTATTTTATTAAACAAATTTAAAGTGTAGACCCCTTCACATTACTTCTATTCTCCTCTATATACATTATTTTCTATCATATAATATTTTAATTATTTTTCACATTTCGTGTTGTATCTATAATATAAACATTATCGTATTATTTTTCTAATTTTTTTGAAAATATGCCAAAGTTTAAACGGAAGAAGTTCTTTTATTATTTTCCATAAATCTACATGTTTAGTAATTATTATTTAGTATTATGTGCAATAAGCAATTAATTGTTTTCTTTTGTTTTCATATAGAGTTTTGACTTTAATTTTTTTATAACTTAACTACATGACAATTTTAATTACATCTTTATATTGTTAATTTGTTACTTGGTGTTATTTCATTGTAAATGTTTTAAATTTTAGGTTTATAAATTATGTTTTTAATTGCGTGATATTATCCATATAATATATTTTTTCTCGTAATAATTAAAATATTTTCTTATATCAAATTTAAATGTCTAATCCTTCTATATATCTACAATTATATTATTTGTTTACAAAAAAAATCTCTATTTTTTGTTCTTTGTTTATTGTTACTGTGTTATCCGTTACTTAATATGGTTACATTATTACTTAACTTTTTATTAATTTGGCACCTACTTTATATCCCTATCTCCTACTTCTATTATAATATACTATAATGAATATGGTTTTTCTTTCTCTTAATAATCTTTTTATTTATTTTTAATCTTTCACTATATAATATTTGAATTTATCAATAATATTTTTGAGTATTAATTATTTATTTGCTTTATTTTATCATTTAAATTAATTCAAAGTATGAAATTCTCTCACACTATCTTTATCCCCCTCTTTCTAAATTATTTCCCCTAGTAAGTATGATATTTTATTTAATTTTTTCATTAAGTGTTTTATTCAATAATAGACAAAAATAAAAGTGCATATGATCAAACTATATATTACTTCACCAAAATATTATGGTATTTTTATTATTAAACTTCTAGTAATTATTATTTTTGCTGAAGCTTTTAGCCTTTAAAACCATTATTTTTATTGTATACTTGTTTAAAATTCAGAAAACTTAGTCTAAAACAGATACTTTGGATTATCCATTATGAAATAAATAAATTATTAAATATATCTACATTCTGAACTTTAGGGTAAAACCCTAAAATATATTCTTCAACTGATTAAAAAGTATTGAATTTTTAAAATAAATTAAAATTGCACATTAGATTATGGTAGGATATATTCTTCTCACTCGATATTAGAAAAGAAATCCAAATACTATTGATATCAAAATTCTTTACTTTCCAAATATAAAATTTCAGTTAGAAAATATTAGTACAGTGATTGAACTTTATTTTTTTTAAAAGAATTCTTATTTCAATTTAATTTCAATAAATGAAATTCCATATATAGTTCTTAAGTGATATTTCCTTATTTGACAATTTCCCACAAACTCTTTAAAATTGCCAAGTGGCTTTATAGTAGCTTGCCACTTGGCTTAACCACAATGCAAACTTTCTTGCTTTAATATATATATATATATATATATATTCTAAGCGCGTGAAACCCTCAAAATTAAGATTTTTTTCTTTTTTCTTTTAAATTTAACTTTATTTTATGTGGGTCCTATTATATTTTATTTTCCACACATTAATTTCACTTTCTTCCCAAAATATTCCATCTTCACCAAATCAGTAGTGCCTCTTCCTTCCGTCATTAATCCACCCCCTCTTCTTCAATCTTGAAAATAATGTAACAATTAATAAAAACCACTACATAATAACAATTTCATTGACCGCCCACTTCAATTTCTCGTCTTTGCTTCAAATCAACATTCTCTGGCAATGAATTTTCCTGTGCTTATCGAAGAGATGGTGGCAGTGTTTTCTTCTTGATTGTGATGAATTGTTGTTTCATGAATCGCAGGCTTCGATCGGTAGATCCATCACAGTTTTCCCCTCTTCTGCAAACAAAAATTTCTTCTGATTTACAATAATAATATTCTCTTCGGGTTTAACGACTTCTTTTTCTTCCAGTTTCTTTGGCTCTTAGGCCAACGATTTTGGGATCGGAGAAAGAAGCTCAACTTGACGGTGGCTCTTCTTGAGGTGGCGGCGGGGGTGCTGGTGTTTCTTCTTTTGTTTCCTCCGTTTTCTTTTCTTCCTTCTTTTCATTATCACCTTTTGGAGCTTCCTCTTTCTTCTCTTCTTCTGGTTTTTTCGTCCTTTGGAGGCGAGGAGGAAGGGTTGGAGACGAGGAGGAAGGTTGCGGTGATTCTTTCTTTTTTAAATTATTATTATTACTTTTTTTTTGTTTTTGTTTTATAATAAGTGACAAATTTTTTAATTAAAATTACACATGGCATTTTTTCATTTGTTTGTTTGACATGAATCCGAGAGTGTATTTCACGCGAGGTGAGCTGATGAGGTCGGGTGTTTAATTGACCTACTTTATTGAAGGCTTGAAGTGTTCAACTGAAAATGAGGTCAGTTAAGGTGTCTCGCTGACCGTTAAGGACAGCTTGAAAGAGACGTTTATGTATTTTGCCTTTCCATTTTTAAGATATGCCCCAAATGAATATTATTGCCTTAAATTGAATAGTCCAGAGTTAAGCAAATGGTCCAACCCTGACAATGAATCAATGACACAGGATTTTAACGTATTAAATGATAAAATTGAGACAAGCCCTAAGTTTATGTTAAAGCAAGACCATAAAATTAAAAATAAAGTAATTTGACTCTTATATTCTGAACCTTACAATGTGCTCCATCCGATCCACTTTAATTGATTTTTTAATTATTTTCACACATATTAAAAAATTTATTTTTAAGCATTAATTAACAATATAATTGATTGTATTAACCTTAAGTAGTTCATTAGAAACATAATAAATACTCTTAGGCTCTTTACTCCAAGCGCAACTTTGAAAAAAATAAATTAATTTCTTCATGATATTTTAAAAAAATTAAATATTATGGACCATAAAAAAACCAAAAAATCAATTGAAGTAACCCGGATAGAGTATATTTCTAGTAAAACAGGAGGCTTATCTACTCATTGCAATTCTTTGTTGGTGTGAAATATTGTTCGCTTTTTTTATCCTTTGAAAACTAATTTCATGTTAGACAAGTTATTTCCTAATATGTAGGTATAATCTTTTAATTATTTTTCTAATATTTAAAAATAATCATTCAATTGTTTTAAATATTTAAAAGTTTAAAATCAACTAAAACTTTGTTCATCAGATCTTCCCTTATTGAAAAAACTATGTAAAGTCCTATTATTTAGGACGTTAAAATCAATAAATAAATTTTATCTTATATAGATCAAACAATTCCCTTATAATATTTTTTTTACGTAATAAAGATACAAATAAGGAACGTATTTTATATATGTTAATGTTGACTCCAAACCAATGTCTAACATGTAAACTATTACATGTACTTTGTGTCACACCTCCTTTTTACCTACACCCCGGAAAGGAATATAAGGAAGTTTTTTCCAATTTAAAGTGACAATCGAAACGGGATTATTTATTAAAAATTCAGAGTCGTCACTTGGGATGATTTATGGTATCCCAGGTTACCGGTTCAGAATCCCGAATCGAGGAAAGATTGACTCTGTTTTTCAGTTCGCGAACACAGAAATTTGGGTAAGGAATTATGTTAACCCGGGGGAATGTGCTAGGCACCCCCGGATTCCGTGGTTCTAGCACGGTCGCTTAAACTATCATAATTGGCCTATTGTCTGATTTTAATACATGTTTTAGCCTATGATACAATTTTAAACTTATTAACCGCTTTTAATTATTTTTAAGAAGATTCAACGTTATCAAAAACACGTCTTGAACCACGCCACATGAAATGCGCTCGCGGTTCGCCACACATTTTATCCAACGTTGTTGAGATTTGGATTTGGGTCACATGAAATGCACACCCGAGTTTAGGAAGGTAAATTTAAATTACGCGCCTAAAGCAACTACGCATTTTTAACTTTGCGAGGGCCATGGAAAATTCGCTAAATGGTGCACCTCGATTTCTAAGGATAAAATATTAATAATATGAGGGCCATGCATTTTGAGATTTTATTTGGCACGACACACCTCAAATCCAATTTTAAAAAGGGAATTCAAACTAACTTTGGAGGGCCGTAAGCTATTTGTGTTATCTAATATGGCTCACCTCAACTATTAAAGAAGTCTAGTTAATTAGCTAAAGGCTTAACGCGATTTGAGATTAATCTAGGCAAACATATAACTTATCCTCAAGAATCAGCAGAATAAACGAGCCAGTGTTTGGTTACGCGCAAAGCCCAATTAACAGGGGGCCCAAATTAGCCTTTTGTGAGCTTGCATATCAAAAACAAAAAAGGGCAAAGGCTTAAACGAAGCCTGTAACGCGTCCTGGACGCGAGGAAGATGCTGGGCCAATATTAAAGGCCCAATTGCAAGATCCAGTGCTAAATTATAGTTATGCCCAACATTTTGAATTGGAAACAAATACTGCCTTGTAGACCAATACCAAGCACGTTCTTATTGTTCAACCCTTTTAAGGCATAAAGCATTTTTTAATGGCATAAGAATCAAATACGCAAATATTTGGGTTCCCTAGTAGAACAAATGCCTAAGTCTGATTTCATTTACTAAATCCCACTCCAAATATCCTTAAACAAACAATTGACAATGTTTTAATAAATCTGGAAACCTCCACACCATGATTCTGAATTTCCTTTTTTTTTTTTGCTTTGAAGCTATGAAGTAAAAAACTCATTTCAAACGAATGTTAGACACATGAAAGATTTAAGCCAAAACCTTAAACAAAACTCAGAGGCAAATTAAACTATTCTCAACAGGGGTTTATAGTCATTCACCACAGGACATGTCATTCACATCAAAATAACACCTCATATTACCTATTCAAATAGCATACTACACCTCATCATTTTATCCTTAGTCTCCTTGCAACTAGTTTTATCATGAGAACTGCTACCAAACAATATAACATTGAAATGTCTAACTAAAAATCAAAGAAAACTTAAACCAACATGCCTCTTGACTGCATCTTTTATCTACAGCATCTCAATAGTCCCAAATTAATACAAGAAAAAGAACAAGTTTCAACAGCCAAAGCAGAGATTAACTAAGAAAGCAATGGACTAAACTATAAACTACCAGACAACCAAAAATATAGAATTGAACTCATAAAAAGAGACTAGAAAAATGTTTTGAGCTCTGTTTTTTTTTCATTTCACTCTTCAATTCAAGCTTCACATGGGGGTAGAATACAGAAGTGTACCTGAATAAAAGCAAAAGCGGTCAGAAATCTAGTCTGAAACTAGAAGGAAATAACAGTAGCAGAAATCAGCAATGCAACAGTAACAACAACCAAAACCCAGATTTCAATGACCAGGACCCAAATGATTCAAAACCAACCCTTAAATCAGCAATGGAACAGTAGGAACCATAGAAAATCCAAACCAGACTCTGAAATACCAGAACTCAAACCATTTTTAACCCAAAATGCAAACCATGAACTTCAATGGTTCGAGCTGAGTTATCAGGACCAGAAGAACAAAGATCTGAGCATAGCTTTAGTAATTTTTCAGGAAAATGCTAGGAATTCAAGGTTGTATCAGAAATTTTTAGAGAAGAAGCATGTGTTTCAATTTTTCTATATTTTCTATCTCTTAAAGTCCCCCCAAATCTTACTTGAATGTCAAGTTATGATGCTTTTATAGGCAAGGTTCTAGGGCAGCAGAAATGATTTCAGTTTTTGCCCTTTACTCCTTTTTTAATTTTTGTTTTTGCTAGTTGATCCTTAATTTAAAAACTCAGTTTTCACATAGGTCCCAAAGACACCTTCCAGGAAACTTCCCCAGTCAGTTATACAAGATTCTGTCACCTAAATGCCCTAAACTACCCCTTAAACCCCCTGTTTTTACTCTTCAGAACCTCAAATGGGTCATGGGTTAAACGACCCAATGGTTACACACAGGCCTGGGCTCAGAAAATCAATTCGAGCTTCTGGGAATGAATTCTAAAATGAATTCAAAGCCCAAATGGCATAATGACTCAAACCCAGATTTAGCAAATTATGGTAAATGGTAAAGAAACAACTGAATAGTTTTCACAAAATTTAAAACCTGAACTAAAATACTAGTTAATGCAAAATTAAACTAAATTATCACATCAACCTAATTAGGTTAAACTAAATGGCTAAATAAAGAAGATGAACACAGAATTTATCAAGCAAGACCAAACAAAAATCAAGGGGTAAACTTGGAAAAGAACAAACTGAAAAAGAACAAACGGAACAAGGTTTTAGCTTGGCCAGAAATTTTGGTCGACTTTCAATTGAATTATCCGGAGAAAAGAAGAAGAGAAGAAGAAAAATAGAAGAACGAACCAAAGAAAAGAAAGAAACTCACCGACTCGGCTCGCACTCATGACTGCCTCTCCGATTAAAGCCCCAATATAATATCAATCGCCTGTTCTTTGTCAAGAACATGCGACTAATGTTATTTTGTGGTAAAATCGGCACCCTAACACTCATGAATACTGGAGAAGTAGCCTTGCATGAATGAACTTGGCTTTGGCTTCTAGAGTTCGAACCCTAGATTTAATATTTGAGGAGTTCTAAGCATATTCGAATGGAACAGAGTGAGGATTTAGGAAGAGGGGAGTGAGGGGGTTCTCTAATGTTAGTTTGGAGTCGGTTTGTAGTGGCGCCGCCACCGGTGGCGGTGGGAAATAAGGGCGGCGCTTAGGGTTTGGTTGGGAGAATCTCTGAGGAGAGGGGGGGTATGAGAGAGACGAGTGAATGAAGGGGGTGAGTACGCGTTTGGACATATAAATATAAAAAGGGCACTCAGTTCCCGACCATCCGATCAAGCGAGATCGACGGTCCTGATAAAAAATAATTAAAACGACATCGTCTTGAGATCTGAAGGTTTTGAACCAAGTATGGGTATGGCTGGGGCCGGATTTCGAACGGGTATGGGGCAAGATCATTTGGGCTGGCCAAATTGGCCCAAGAATCAGCCTTTCTTATTTTCTTTTCTTTTTCTTTTTATTTTTCAATTTTCCTTTTCTTTTTCAAATTAAAATAAAACCTAAATTAACTCTTAAAACTAAATTAATTTACCAAAATAAGCTAATTATCCTTCATAGTATTTATAAAATTAATTAACTCCTAAATTAAAAGAAAAACTATAAAATTCAAAAATCAAAAGTAAAAAAAATGCAAAATGAGTTATTTTTTTGTAATTTTTTCTATTTTTGTAAAGCAACTAATTTACTAATTAACCTAAAAATATAAAATTAAATCCTAAATGCAAATGCAGAGTATTTTGTATTTTTAGGTATTAAGTAAAATTAAACGTGCACACAAAAATGCAAACAAACAAGAAAATTATGCAATAATTCCTAAATACCAAATAATTAAAAGGAAAAATCTAATTTTGGGAACTCTGTAGGAGCAATTCATGTGAGACAAAAATCACGTGCTCACACTTTGAACATAAGTTAAAGTTTGTGGCCTCCAATAAATGAATTATCTTGTGCGTTTTTTCATTTTATTTTTGCCTTGAATATGATTTTTTTTAATTCTAGGTGTCCTATTTATTCTGTCTTTGTAACCTGAGGAAAGGTCTTGTCATGATTCATAAGACACACTCAATTAAAACATTTCGTTCCTAAATTTGCTATCTCAAACTAAATTGATAAGGAAATAGTAATTGTAAAATATTTAGTGAACTTGAAGATTCTCCTAGCAATATAAGTTCTATCCATCTAATTTTGTCCTAGGAACAATAAGTGAAGTTCATAGGGGAATAGTATAATGTATCATATTATGATTTGTTCATGTTTATTATCGTTTTAGTCAATTGGTTTTGTGGCTCATTACAAACTTATTTTTAATTTTATGACCCCATCTTCTTTTTTGCGCATGAGAGATTTGCTTTTACACGTAAAAGATCTAAAAAAGATATTTTCTTAAATTTAACATTGTAAAAAGCCATGAAAAAACCCCGTCATTTTATTTGACACTTGATTCTATTTTTTGAGTGAAATAGACCGAGTCTTATTAAAAATTTTAGTTATATTTTTTGCACTTTGCTACCCATTTTGTCATCTTATTATACCGTATATATTTAGAGATATTTTGGAGAAATAAATTGTGAATTCACACATATATCTAATTATTTCTTTTTTGTACACGACACATAATATCAGATGATTTTGTATGCAGGGGGCTAATGGAAATTGAAGAGGACTATAAACATGGTTAAAGTGCCAGTATTTATTTGTTCATAGATTACGTGTGGCGATTAAGCACTTTTCTATTTTCCCAACCGAAGATTCAACCCGTGAAGATCTTTTGCAGGCTCTCATTTGCGTTCATATTTTTCTAATTATTATCTAGATTTTATTTCACTTAATGGAAAAAATATTTTCAAGTTAGTCAAAATTGTTAAAAATTAATGATGTATTATGTTTACACCGTCGCATAAAATTGTTTTTTTAAGTTAGTCAAATTTACTAACAATTGACGATGCGTTGATTTTTATTCTGTAATAATAGAGGTGCAATTTTATTTCTGAATTAACCGCTAAATCAAATTGTATCATCATATACTGATGTCGTAATTTTTGAGTTATTGTCGGTTATTTTAGCTAGAGATAGAATTCTTATTTCACGTTGTTCATTTTTTTTTTGAATTGCTTTGTTTAATGAACTGAAGAAAGCTACTTGCGGATCATGTGGTGCCTTTCAAAAATATTTTTTACATTTGACAAACTTGTAATTTATTTTTCTAATATTTAAAAATCTAAAATTAACTAAAATTTTGATTATTAAATCTTTCATTATTTGAACCATATAAAACCCTATTATTTGAAACTTTAAAATTAATTAAATATATCTTATATTATATTCTTATCAGAAATATTAATATAACAATAATACATTCTATATTAATTTTTAAGTTTTGAACACATTAGAAATATTCAGGAAAGTTTTTAAATTCTAAATTTTGTCTATTTTTTTATGTACTTAAATAGTCTTTAAAGAAAAGATAATATTTTCAAGATTTTGTTTCTTTCTTTCTTATGCTTTAGAATGAGTGATCATTTTTTAACCACTAAATTATATAATTATCTTTATGTGTAGTGAGGAATCAATAATTACAAGTATATTTAAGAGTACTATTTATTAACATAAGATAACTAATGTCACACCTCCTTTTTCACTACACCCGCAAGGGCGTAAAGGAGTTTTTCCATTTAAAGGACATTCAGAATGAGATTTAATTATTAATTATTCAGAGTCGCCACTTGAGAGATTAATGGTGTCCCAAGTCACCGGTTGTATCCCGAACCGAGGAAACATATGACTCTGTTAACAGTCTGCGAACCAGAAATCCGAGTAAGGAATTCTGTTAACCCGGGAGAAGGTGTTAGGCATTCTCGGGTTCCGTGGTTCTAGCACGGTCGCTCAACTATTGCATTTGATTTTATCTGATTTTAATACCTGCTAGCTTACGTGCCTTTTATTCGTAAACCACTTTTTATCATTATTTATTTTAAAAGAATTGCGATGTCGTGAAAACGCATTTCGAACCACGTCGCAATCAATGCACCCGTGATTGTCAACACATTTTGACTTCGTCGAGATTTGGATTTGGGCCGCATCAATGCGCACCCGAATTTAAGAAAGTGATTTAATTAAATCGTGCCCAAAGATTCTAACGTATTATTATTTTGGGGAAGGCTGTAGAATTTACTAAACAACCTTTCTGAATTCAATTATTTTAATAACCATTCGTTGATGGCCCCACATACATGATTTTGTTTGGCAAGATTCTTCTCAACATTTTTATTAAAAAGGCCCATTTGAGAGTGACTACAATTTTCTATTGATCAATTGTCCCTAAAAGAAGAAAGAAAACTTAATTACGTGAAAACTGAACTGAGATTATGCACTAAAATTCAGTAGTCCAACCTCAACAATGAGCTGGACCACTGATGGGCTTCAGAAACAGCCCAAAAATTCGGTCAGGCAGGAAAGGGAGGCCCAGGTGACAGATAACAGCACCTGGGATCGAATCCCCTAGGAAGCCCAAACTCACGAAGGCAGTCCGTGTGACAGCCTGAGATGGCTTATCGCTGAGCCCAGCGACGCCTCGATTTAGTTCAACCAAACGCCCACTGAAATTACCCCTAAATTATTTTAAGTGTTCAATAATTATAGCAAAGGGGAAACAATACGCATCTACTCGAATTAAAGGGATATTAGTCAATTGAATTCCAGTTTTATGCACAGACTAATTTATCTACTGGTATTCAAGTGAATCCTCAGATATCATTAAGGTGAGAACCAAGCTGTAGACACGATTTCAACAACACAAAGCAGACTAATTACTTCTGAATTAATTCACGCCAACATTGCTATCAACCTATCATGTAATCAACTAATACTAGTGCTCACTTTATAGTAATCACGTGAATCCAAAACATAACAGTTTATATAGTCCATTTAGCACAAAAGCAAGCAAAACTTAAACAATATCCATGAACTAAACATTGAATACGTAGATCTGAAAATTAGCTAAATCAGAACTCAATTCTGCAAGTAAATTCATTCTTCACATAATTTCGTTTCTGCACACTTTAGCTCACAGTCATCAGAGGTACAATTGTGTACCTGGATAAGGGAAAATATGAGAAGGAAAGAAGTCAGCTACTTTGAACAGCAACAGCAACAAAACTCAGCAGTATATCATCACAGAACAGGCCAGGAAATGCTTTTGAAAAATCAGAAATATAAGCAGACTCAACAGATCAGTCCAACACACACTTGAAATGCACTCCTAGCCCTCACAGCTGAGCCTAGATGCCTCTGAAATCCTGCTGGACCTAAATCTCAACTGAAGTCCAAACTAATAGGCCCCAAACTCATATGAATCAGTCTTTAATCACTCCCGAACACTTTTAGAAATAGAACCTCGAGCTGGAATGAGGAATNTCCTCATTTTAAATTGTTCTTCTCTTTGAATTTTGATTTTCCAAATTAATTCATCCTTATTTTCCACCTCATTTTTGTTACTAATTATCTAATTTGCAAAGATTGCAAGAAGTTAAAAACTAAACTAAGCTAATTAATGTCTAAAAACTTTTAAAACTAATTTGTGACAATTTCACAATTAAAACAATAAAATGCTAATGTGAGCTATTTTGTAATTTTCATGTTTTGTTTAAAAACAAATTAATCCCTAATTAATCCTAAAAATATGAAACTATATTCTAAATGTAAATGCATATTTTTGTATTTTCATGTGAATTAACACACACAAATAAAAATGCAAACAATTAACAGAAAATGACACAAAAATTCACAAAAATTGTAAAAATAAGGGAAACATCATTTTGTTTGAATTTTTGGGAATAATTTCATATATAAGGAAAAAATCACATGCTCACAACTAATTGTATCTAAAAGTACTATAATTAAGATTCAGATAAGAAAAGAGTTCCAAACCTTTATGCATGCATCTCCGTACAAGTGCTGCATACCTAATAAATTTCAAAATTATAAAAATGAGAAAGAAAGATATTTTTTTTTATAAATTGTGTAATGATTTAACGGAATACATGCAAATCGTCTATATCTATCTATTTATTATTAAAATGGATGATCTAAAGTAAAACGTTAATAGAACAAAATGCATTGCGCATATAAAATTGAGCAACGTATCTGTCTTTTAATCAAATACACATTCTAAATATTTATCTACAATATATC